CGTTCAGTAATGTGGGAAAGATGATTCGAGAAGAGATATTTTAGCTGAAGCATGTATTCAATTAAGTATATGCCCTTCAAGCATACGGACCGTGTTCACAGAGTCACCAGATAGGGAAGAAAACCAAGTATTACTCGCGCGAATATCCTTTTGATCAGGCCCTCGCGAAACAGACAAGATTGCGTGCGGATTAACATGGAGATCAGGACAAGAAGACCAATATGGTGAAGGCTTTCGTCGCCACATCTAGATGCAGGTTTAGCTTTTGAGCGTCTTCTAATCCACCGAGAACTAGGTGGTGAAAGTTAATCGTGACGCCCGACAACAAATGTATATTATGTCAAATTGTCTAATTTGGCAGCCGACCGTACGATCGCAAGGTTCATAGCTGGGCGATGATATCCTATGGCATCCCCTAGGCAGACTGATGCGTCAATCATATGACGAATAAAACTCCGTATCCCAATAGTGACCATGATATTGCCAGACGCCGTGGGAAGGAGGTTTTTGCACCACTGATTGTTGGCATCCAGTGTAAGGTAGATATGCTCGTCGTCATATCCCGTCATGCCCTTTTCCCGGAGACTCGCCTCTACGTCTTCTGCACCGACGATGTCGTCCAAGGGTACGCCCTGAGCAACCATGTCCTGCTTGATGATAGTCCCCAACATGTGATATTCTGGAATGTCAAAGTAGCGCGCCGGGCTTCGGCTGCCCTCGTCCTTGGGATCTGTAGCATCCTGTATCTCCATGGCTGCGATCCGCAATCCTATGGCCGTTAAGTTGAGAAGAGACAGAGGGTTGGCTCTATGGAGACTGAATTGGTGAGCGCGTTGAAACCATTGACTCCTGGGGTGGTTGTCTTTCTGAGCCAACCTCAGATGACGGTAACTGACGACCATTGTTGTATGAAATAAACGCTGCCATAAGGGTGAGGCAGCTCGAGCGGTCAGGTCAAGATCGATGCCCCAATAATCCTCGCTTAGGACAGGATTGTGATGAAGCATCAGTTGGATGAAGGGTGATGCAGGTGCATTCTCCAACGCTCGGGATGTCCGGGAGCCCATTTGCATCATCTCGTCATAGCTTTGATGGTCGTTTCTGGCGCGTGCTTCGTCTGCCTGATAGAGTTCCGTGCCCGGCAACGCGAAGGGGGGAGTATCTTCCCTTCTTGGCTCCTCTGGGCGTTCCTCCTCCCTAGTCTCCAGGAGGGTCTCCTCTGCGGGCTCAGTCTCGAGACCCTTTGCGACTGTGACGAACGTCTTCAAGGTATCCTGAAGTGACATCATGGTAGCGCCATCCGCATGACCATCGATCAGTGGTGAGACTTGTTTGCTAAACTTGGTGAAGGCATCGAACAGCGTGTCGATAGCTTCTTCGAGCTTCTTGTTTCGTGCATCCGCCTCGGCAAGGGCATTCAATCTCCTCAGGCGGAACCGGCGCTGTGCTTCTCTCGCACGCTCTCGTTGCCGCTGACATGTTTTAGGAGCAGAGCTGGAAAGCAAGCTTTCACCACAAACGTACCTGGAGCACGGCCTTGTCAGTTATCTCCTGAGGCCGAGACGGCATGATACTGTCTATGATATGTCGTGGCAAGTGTCTTGTCGGTGGAATAACTTATCGGAAAGCGCCGATTGAAGGGTGATAGTACGAAGTGTAGTTACGTTGCAGCTCTCACTTAGCAATGCGCTGCATTACTAATCATACCACGACATGAATTCGATGCAAATACGAACCTCCTTGTGTGTCAACCCCTACATTGGCGGGCAGAATGAAGGGAAATTTCGATGTAGTTGCAGGATGCATCATCACACAGCTCGCTCTGACAATGACCTGCGCATAATAGCAGAATTCATTGGTTTGTACCAACAGGAATACTAAGCATCACGGCATGTAGAGTCCCTTCACCTGCACTCTCCTGAGCTCCACTCGGCATCTTGACTCATTTTTCCGACTGAGTAATGGAATGCGTAGGGGTTTGCTCCAACATGGTTCCCCTTTTAGCCCAGTCCATAGAGCCACCGTGGCTTCTGTAGCCATGTCGAACTTATCCCAGAGCATTAGCAATCAGCCCTCTAGTCCGGCGTCGCTATTAATTATTCAATGTTAGACATTGGACGACATCGGCTAGTTCAGACGGCCAGCAGGCTCGTCAGCATGCAGGGCAAGCCACCACGAGTGATATTGTTTACCAGACATTTTGAACGCTATAATGCGTGACAAATTCATGAGGATGTGCATTTACCACAGATGACTGGATCGGGTCGAGTGCGTTACCAATCCAGCGTTGATATTACTTTATACAAATTACACAAGCATATCTGAATACTATAAGAAGCCTGTGCCTTGCCGCCTGAGGAATCCGTGTGAAGATAACGCAGTATACACATTCAGTTTAATATCCCCAGCACAGATTCCCAGCAATACGTTTGGAAATATCTACGACCAAAATGATTGCACCATTTCCCTCTCCTTTTTCGATCTGGCACAATGCCCCGTATCCCGCCATTGACCCTACCAGTCCCCAGCTCTCTGCCAATCATAAGGTGGTTGTGGTCACTGGTGGAGGCATTGGCATTGGTAAAGCTGTTGCAGAAGCCTTCGCAATAGCTGGTGCACCGTGTATCGCTATCCTTGGTCGGAGAAAACACATATTGGATGCCACGACGACTGAGCTACAATCCAGATTCCCGAGGCTCAGGGTCTATGCCGGAGTTGCGGACGTTACGGACCAGGCTGCAATTGAGGACCACTTCTCCCACATCGCCAGACATTTCGGCAAAATCGATGTCCTGGTTAACAATGCAGGCTATCAGCCAGACCTTGCTTCAATCAAGGACACCCAGCTTGATACACTGTGGCGCACCTATGAGGTCAATGTCAAGGGCAGCATCATAGTAACTAAGGCATTCTTGCAGCACGCTAATGCCAAGGCTGTCCTGATTAACTTCAGTACAGGCGTTGCCCATTTGCCCTTCATGCCTGGTATGGCGGCGTATGGCACCTCCAAGCTCGGAGCCGCCAAGTTTTTCGAATACGTGCAGGCCGAAAACCCAGACCTGCAAGTTATCAACATTCATCCAGGCGTCATCGTGACAGAGATGCAGCAGACGACCATCAAGGCCGGCGTCATCCTGCCATATGATGATAGTGAGTTTCGAACCCACCCTACGCATAGAATGGTACTGACACAGCCTGTTTACAAGTCATGCTGCCAGCGGGTTTCACTGTGTGGGCTGCTACTGCAGATGCCGCCTTCCTAAAGGGCAAGTTGGTTTGGTGTAATTGGGACATTGAAGAGTTGAAGGAGAAGAAAAATGATCTCGAGACTACAAGGTTCTTGGCTCTTGGCCTGCAGGGGTACCCGGAGAAGTGACCAAGCAAGGAAATCATCGATAGTGTATTGCAGTCGAATCAATGCGACATTGGCTTTATATCACTGGGAAACCCAGTCCGTTGTTGAAAGTACTTCTCCTTCACCTTGCTGGGGCCCTTGCGTGGCGTCTGCCAACTCCGACTGGCCTGAGGAAAATTAAAAGAATTATGTAGTATGTCTATCTCCTACTTACACATATCAGCTTTTATCAACATTTATCCTCCCTTGTCACTAATGATTTCAACGGAAGTATGGCGCATTAGTTGACCAGAGCAGCAAGGAGGGCACCGAAGACGGCGAGGCCAGTAGCGAGGCCGAAACGGCTGGCTGCGCTGTCGGGGTCGGCGGGTGCGGGAGAAGTCTCGTCGGCCGGCGCCTCTGTGGTTTGGCTACTCGTAACAGCGGGGCCATCGCAGTGCCTGGAATAGATGTTAGTGTGAAGCACAGATGAAAGACGTGGCTTGCTGACCAGTGATCACCGTGAGGCTCGCAGCCGACACTCTCAGTGGGAGAAGGCTCGAGGGAGACTTGGGCGGCCGAAGCGTCGGTCTCGCGGGGGCCATCGCAGTGCCAGTGGTCTCCGTGGGGTTCACATCCGATGCTCTCGGTTGGTGAAGGCTCCAGAGTTACGCTGATATCGATGCCAGAGGTGATGGAGCCGGTCTCGTGGTCGTCATCCTCGTGGTCGTGGTCATCCTCATGGTCATGATCATGGTCGTGCTCGGAGGCATCCGTCTCTCGTGGGCCCTCACAGTGCCAGTGGTCGCCGTGAGGCTCACACCCAATCGACTGGGTAGGGCTTGGGCCAGGATCTTGTGCGGCGACGACGGCTACAACACCAGCCAGGGCGAGAAGGCTGAAGGTCTTCATCTTGGGCGAGTTGACGTGAGATGGAAGGCGGTTCAGAGATTGACAAGAGACCGAGAGGTGGAGGGCAGAGCGAGGTGCAGAGAACAGAGGCGGCGGGGACGTGCATGTCGAGCACTTTATAAGTGGTGAGCTAGATGGAGTCTAATATCCATGTTTCTTGGCAGGATCCGTGGCTTGTGCTAGACCTCTGGGCAGAGAAGGCGGGCATAATCTGCTCACTGAAAGAGGCAGTCAGCTCGGAGAGGAAGTGTGGCGCCCAGAGCAGGGAGGCCATCAAGGCCCTCATGCCAAGAACGGCGGATCGTAAATGAGGCGGAAGCGTCGTGAGGCTTTGAGGATAGGACTGGCAGCTGTGCGGAATAATGGTGTTGCTGAAGGCGTGTTCCTTTGGTGTGTCTACTATCACAATGCTAGAACAGAAAGACTGAATCCGTATTCAAGACAGACGCTGGACCTGAGAAAGGTTTCCAGACGGTGGTCAAAACAGAATAAGATGGAGCAAGTTGAGCACCTTGATGGCTTGTGCTTGGTATTGGCTTGATCCACTGTTGACTGGTGAGTGCCTACCCGGAGGCGAATAAAAGCGCTGGGAGGGTTGATTAATGGTGATGGTATTTTCCTCGTCAGCATGAAGCGATATCTCTACGTTAATATGTTGAAGGTGTGAGATCACAGACGGGGTTGAATGCGTAGATGCTCACCTACCCGGAACCCTCCATAGGACGAAATATGATGATGATGGCCACCACTTATCGCTTGGATAGTGTAGTGGTTATCACATTCGGTTTTGAAGATACTTCGAAATTCCGAATAACCTGAGTTCGAATCTCGGTCTGAGCTTTTTGCCTCTCATTTTGCTCTGGCTATCTATTTCAAGCATTATGAAAAATTGTTTGTATTTTTTATTATTTATTCATTTATTTTTTGCCTTGATTCTGGTATTTCTTTTTATTGGTTTATTCATACTCTTATCCTTTCCCTTGCTGTAATACGGAGGTAGGGCTCGCAATTTCCACGCTAGTACTAATAGGTGATATCAGCTTATCTCCCCGCTCCGAAGAAAGGCCGCCCGCAATGGATACATTCCACTCCATCCCGCACCATCCCACTTTGACTCGTCTGCATCTCCAACCTCGCATCGCAGCCTCAAACCCCATGCATACCTCGCCCGACAGAGGACCCGCGCGCTCCTAAGGCCAACCGCCTCTGCTGTCCGGCTAGCTGCTGAGCCGGACCCCCTCGTCTCGGGGAATGTCCACGGAGCAGTCACCCATTTCCATCATCACACCGCCTGCATCAACTGAAGGCGGAGCTAACGGCACCACCGCGAGGAGGACTCGCCGGAATTGGACACCATGGGAAGACCAGTCGCTCAGGAACCGCATCGCCCAGTACGGCCACGCCAGGGGCTCCGAGGGCAGATGGACCGAAATCGCGCAAGGCATCCCCGGCCGCACCGCCAAGGTCAGGAACCAACCCTCCAACCCTCCCATCAGATGACGTACCATGTCTAACCCGTACATCCCCCGTCGTAGGACTGCCGCAAACGCTGGTTTCACTCGCTCGACCCTTCTCTTCGAAAGGGACGCTGGACTGAGGACGAAGACCGCATCCTTCTCGAAGCCTACTCTCGCCTCGGCCCGGCCTGGAAACAAATAGCCGATCTCATCCCGGGCCGAAAGGACGACCAGTGCTCCAAGCGCTACGTCGATATCCTCGGCCCATTGGCCAAGAACCGCCTCTCTGGCTGGACGCCCGAGGAAGACCAAATCCTGCGCGAGAGCGTCAACGACCTGGGCCATCGCTGGGCTGCCGTCGCCTTGAAGCTGCCTGGTCGCCCGCCCCTGACTTGCCGGAATCGATGGCGCTGCTTGTCCAAGCAGGCGGCTGCCGCCAAGCCCACGACGGCTGAGCAACAGACGTCGCCTGCCAGCGTGCAGCCAGCATCGGATAATGACGCGGGCCAATCGCAATCGCCTCCTGTGTCTCGTCTCGGTGACGCACTAGATGCTGCCACGACAAGCTCCACCAATCAGGCAGACCAGGGAACGATTGTTGTCAATGACAGCGCCAGTCTGATCGGAGGGGCCGGCAACATGATCTCCTCGACCAATCCCTTGGATTATTCTGCCCACATCTCTCTAGATGGCGCGTGGAATGCTGGCCCACCCGTGGACTCCGCCCACGTTGCTTCCCTCACCAGCGTCCCCGATCTGGAGGACATGCCAGACGCAGACCTGCACATGGTCGGCGGAATGGAAGCATGGGATCTGGAGCCATCCTGGGAAGACCGCAGCAACGGCCTGTCAGCCATGCCACCTGGTCCCTTGCTGGAGCACCAGCAGCCCACCTCGACCGGAGCTCAGCAGGCAGGCATGCCGATGCCGATGCAGCCGCACCAGGAAAACAACACGGATCCCCCCGCCACCTCGGTCGACTTTCGCGCGCTGGAGCTCTCTGCCGAGATGACGTCGCGCCCCGACCAGCAGCTGCCCGGCATCGCCGACGAAGCCCAGGACGCCCAGGGCTTCGGACCCGTAGCGGCAGCCGAGCAGCCGTTTGCCGAGCAGCCGGCGCGTCAAGAGTTCCGGCACGTCACGCACCACCACTACCACCACCATCATCATTATCACTACCACCACCACCACTATCATCACCATCATCAGGTTTGACGGATCCACCCGGCCGGCGTGCGATGGATAGTCTTCCTCAACGAAGATTTCGCACGACTAGCCGCGTCTGATGCCGTATCTTTGTCTTGTCTTGGGAATTTTGCAGCAACATGATGGATGTTGCAAAGGGCGTACCGGTATTGATGTATATCGATGTCGAATCTGTTTAGAAGTAGCATCAATATCATCACGTGGGAAAGCTGTTCGTGAACCGTAGGCGTGGTCTATAAAAGCCTAGCTGTGCCTTTATACATGACAAGACGCTTCCATTGCGCATGATTTGATACCCGTAAGACAACGCTCAACTACAAACAAAAAATAGACAAGATAAGAACCCAGTGCCTATGGCAGCAACTGCTTCCAGTACTTGGTCGGCACAAAGGGCATCTTGGTAACCGTTCCCTTCCTGGCCTTGCCGCGGACCACGACCTCGAGCTCGGTTCCCGACTTGTGCAGCCCGTCCTTGACGTAGCCCATGGCGATGTTCTTGCCGAGCGTGGGGCTGGGCGAGCCACTGGTGACGGTGCCAATGACCTCGCCGTCCTTGACAATGTCGGCGCCCTCGCGGGCCGGGGCACCCTTGACGACGATGCCGACGCGGCGGCGGGTGACGCCGGTGCCTCCCTTGCTCTTGGGGGTGAGCTGGGCGAGGATGACGTCGGCTCCGTGGAAGCCGCCCTGCTCGCGGCGCTCCTTGGGGATGACCCAGCTGAGGGCGGCCTCGACGGGGGTGGTGGTGTCGTCGAGGTCGTGGCCGTAGAGGCACATGCCGGCCTCGAGGCGGAGCGAGTCGCGGGCGCCCAGACCTGCGAGCTGCAGGCGGTCCTGGCCGGCAGAGGTGAGGAGGGCCTCGGCGGCCAGGGCCGTCATCTCGGGGGCGGCGCCCATGGCGGCGTTGAAGGAGAGCTCGAAGCCGTCCTCGCCCGTGTAGCCTCCGCGGCTGATGAGGACGGGGACGGTGTCGCCGGTGCTGACCTTGAGGTTGGCGAGGACGGCGCTGCCAAAGTAGAGCGTGGCGAGGTCGACGTCGACGAGGCCGGCGAGGATCTCGGCGCTCTTGGGGCCCTGGAGGGCGAGCAGGCCCGAGTTGTCGAGGCGGGACCACTCGACCTGGCCGCCAAACTTGCCGAGCTCCTCGTCAAAGTACTTGGTGTCCTTGTCGAGGCAGGCGCCGTTTGTGACGACGTAGAACTCGTCCTCGGCGAGCCTCGTGACGATGGAGTCGTCGACGATGCCCCCGGTGCCGGGCCACAGGAAGGTCGTCAGCTTGCCCTGCATGGCGGGCTGGTCCTTAAAGCCCGAGGGTGTGACGGTCTCGAGGAAGGCGGCGGCGGCGGGCCCGCGGAAGAGGTGCTGGACCATGTGGCTCACGTCGAAGAGCGAGGCGTTGTTGCGGGTGAAGTGGTGGGACTGGGCGTGGGAGAGGGAGGCGTAGCTGATGGGCATGTGGTAGCCGGCAAAGGGGACGAGCTTGGCGCCGCTGGCGAGGTGGAAGTCGTACAGCGGCGTCTTGTTGAGCTCTGCGCCGGCATCAGAGGAGGCGTGGCGATGCTGGGCGAGGAGGAGAGGTTGGAGGCGGGCGGCGGACGGGCGTGCTGCCGCCTGGCGGAGGGAGGAGGAAGCCCTCAATGCGGATTGCCTCATTTTGAGTGTTATTATCTGACTGATTGATTGGGAGGAGTGTGATGATTGTGATGGAGGAGAGGCAAGTTGGATGAAGATGGACGAGGACGAAAGCGGCGGTTTGCAAGTCGACGTCGCATATCGTCCCGTATCAAGGGCCCTGGAAACTCGGTGCAACCGCCTATATGCAGTGGAGTGGGGGCATCTTTAGTGGGTGGGCCCGGCCGGCAGTGGGTTCCACGGGCGCCTTTTGGGGGGGTTGCGCAACAGACGTCACCGAGTCACAGGCAGTACCTGGAAGTCACCGAGTCAAGCGATAAGCCGGGAAGAAGAGGCGAATTGGCGGACCGGTTGTCGGCGCTGCCTGTTGGATAATTGGTCTTGTTGGTAAACACCAAGAAAGCTGCAGAACATCGTCATCACGAACAGCAGTCAATCCATCGCCATGGCCAGCACACGCACTCTCAGCCAGGCCTGCCGCGGCCTGCGGTCTCCCATTGCCGCACCGGCAGCAAGGCTCTACTCGTCGCTCTCCTCGGAACAAACCAAGGTACAGCCACCCTTCAACATTCACCAGCCCTCGATTGCTAACACCAGCGCAGCTTCTCGGCGCTGACCTAGCCCAAGATGACCCCGAGGTCTACGGCATCCTCAAGCGCGTACGTGCCCCTATTCATCCCAAGAATCGCCTCTGTTGCTAACGGACTGCCTCCAGGAGGAGAAGCGCCAGCGCCACTTCATCAACCTCATCCCCTCGGAAAACTTCACCTCCAAGGCCGTCCTCAACGCTCTCGGCAGCGTCATGCAGAATAAGTACTCCGAGGGGTACCCCGGCGCGCGCTACTACGGCGGCAACGAGCACATCGATGAGGCCGAAAGGCTGTGCCAGCAGCGTGCCCTACAGGCCTTTGACCTGACCGAGGACAAATGGGGCGTCAACGTGCAGTGTATGTCCTCCACCATCATAGAAATAGCCATTGCACATTCTTACAAGTTGCAGCGCTCTCTGGCTCTCCCGCCAATCTGTACGCCTACTCGGCCCTCCTGCAGCCCCACGAGCGCATCATGGGCCTCGACCTCCCGCACGGCGGCCACCTCTCCCACGGCTACCAGATCCCCAACAAGAAGATCTCCATGGTGTCCAAGTACTTCGAGACCTTCCCCTACCGCCTCGACGAGTCCACGGGCCTCATCGACTACGACGCCCTGCGCGCCAACGCCCTGCTCTACCGCCCCAAGATCATCGTCGCCGGCACGTCGGCCTACTCGCGCCTCATCGACTACCCGCGCATGCGCGCCATTGCCGATGAGGTTGGCGCCTACCTGCTCGCCGACATGGCGCACATCTCGGGCCTCGTCGCCGCCGGCGTCATCCCCTCGCCGTTTGAGTACGCAGACGTCGTGACGACGACGACGCACAAGTCGCTGCGCGGGCCCCGCGGCGCCATGATCTTCTTCCGCAAGGGCGTCCGCAGCGTCAGCAAGAAGGGCGAGGAGACAAAGTACGACCTCGAGGGCCCCATCAACGCCTCCGTCTTCCCGGGA